GGTTTTTCATTGCCTTAAATCTGAATTTCTGTGTATGTCCGTCAAAATTAATTTGTAGGGGAAGTTCGCCTATAGTTTTCTCGGTTTTCCCGTAATTCCTTGTATTGTAGTGGAACTAGGCGTTAGTCTTTCTTTGAATTTGTCTGTTATTTCCGGTCCTGCCAGTGAGAGTTCCGCTCCTGAGTAAACTAAGGCGTCATATGCTATATTACCAATAATAATAATCGGTATGAAACACCTACTGTCTGAGCTTAATCCTCCTATCGATTGTGGGGGTGCGGTCAATATCACTGTCATGTTTTTGTCTTTATTCTCATCTACAGCTTCCTGTTGTCTTTTATCAAGATCCTTAGCTGTTTGTAGGTCTGATTGTGAGGGTATTGTTAGTTTTTCATCTTCTGTTTGTATCATCTCTTCATTGTCTAGAAATTTAACAGTTTTTAATATTCCTTTAGGCATTCCTGTATGCGTTCCTTCAGGTTGTATTCCTGGTGTGACAGTATCTATTTTGTCTGGCATTTTCTATTATTTGGTCTGTTATTGTTGGGATCTGATGGTCAATGTCGTTTGTTAATGTTACTTTTTCAGCTGGTGGAAATGCTAGGTTTTCCACCAACTGTTCACTATTTTGTATTTCCCCATTCATGTCGAATAGTAACGTTTCTTGATCCTTAAGGCGTTTTAGCAACTTATTGAGTGGTTCTTCATCAATCCAGGATAGTTTCTGTCCATTTATTGGGGTGGTATGTCTGTCGGTGAAGTTTTTATCTTCATCTGATGTCTGGTCGTTTATCCCTTTATCGTCACCTGATGATATTTCCCATATTGGGCAAGTATTTTCTTCCGAGTCTGTATCAATTTCTATGTGGGAGGCCATTTTCATAGCTATTTCCCCTATGTGATCATGTTGGCCCATTATTGGGAATCGGGGGGAAGCAGTGGACTCGTCTGCTCCCCACCTTGCGCGTTTTCCAACAATTCTGAGCAAATATGTTGGCAAAATTTGCAAAAGTCAAAGGGCGAACCTATACGAGTATTTTTACAAACTTGGCAGTGTGTCTGTCTTATTTTCGGTCCTGTTTTTGGGAATAAAGATTCTCGTTTTGGGCAAGATGCTGTATAATGACCTGGTTGGTAACAGAAGAAACAAGGATTCTTTGGGCATTGTCGGTAGTTATGATCACCCTGGCAGCATTTGCATGGCTCTCTATTTTGTCTGTCGGTCTAATTATTATTATTCATTGTATTATCTGTTTGATTGATTTGAAATGGTATCAGTGAAGGCAAATTCCATCTTGTTTCCACACTATTTGATGTCGGTATTTGTTGACCTTGACTGTAATTTTGTGTCTGTTGGTTCCGGTTATTCATTCTGTCATTGGTCTGATTGTTATTTGCTGTCTGTAATTTTTCTTGACTTGTCCATGTTCGTTCTTGTTTGACTGGTGGGAAGCCCAAGTATTGGTGAGGTCCTTGGTATGCTGCAATTTATGCCATCATGGGTGGAGTATGTATATTTCCTTGCTTGGTCTGTTGTTGTATATTATTTTGTTTTGTTTTACCTATATTGTCTTTTCCATTATTTTTTGAGGGTTTTCACGTGTCATGTGAGGTTTTGTTTCAATTTTCTGTGCGGCCGAGGCTTTTGTTGTCCTTTTATTGGTTTTTGGTGCTGCTGCTGAAAAGTGTGTCTTGGTCGAAGGTGGATGGTATTGTTCATCCATTTCCTCCAAATCTACCCATTTTCGGCCATAATATGTCAAATCACTGAATCTCTCTATTCGTTTGTCAGACATGTATTTTCGGTATGCCGGAAGAAGTCCTCGTCTAGCGATTTTAATTTGTTGTCGCAAGGAAATAGGACGTTTAAAGTGGCTGGCTATATATCGAAAGGCGTTCAGGTAGTCTGTTATTGATTTACCTTCATTTTGTATTCGCCATCTGAGTTCTTCTTCAATGTCATCATCAGTCATTCGTCTGCCGTAGTGGTCTCGTAGGGCTCTTTTCAGGTCTCGCCATGAATAGATTTCCTTTGATATCCCCCGGTACCACGAATTAACTTCTTTGGAGAATACGGCCGTTATTACTTGCAGCAGGTTATCACTTGACATTCTAACACGTCTTTTCTGGTTTTCGATTTGGCTAATAAATTCTTCAGGTCCGTCTGTGCCATTAAATCTTATTTTACGGCTTTCTAGTAGTTTAATATTACGAAGATCTCGTCGGGCAGTGTCATAGTCATGTTCTCTTAGTCTGTGTGAACGATGTCTCGATTCATATTCTGGTTTTGAAGATGAGGCCGAGCTTTCGGTGTCAGAATAATATCTGGTCGGTTCTCGCCATTGTTCACGAGAATAGTGATAACCTGTATATTTATTTCTGTGTTTGGATTGTGACCGTGATCTTCATCGAGAGTGATAGTCTGTTCGATGTTTTGAACGTCTGTTCCGTTGTTCGATGTTTTGAGCGTCTGTTCCGTTGTTCAATGCCAGATTCGCTTTCCGATGAGTATCTTTTGTTCCTTTTATGTCGATGGATATGTTGTGATCGGATCCGGTCAAAGTGGTCGGGTCGTTGTGGCGCTCTAATGTAGCGACTGTAGTAGAATGTATCGTTTTCGCTGTATGAATCTGAATACTTATTTACGTGTCTTCTTTTTCCTAATTCTTTATTTCGTCTGTATCCTTATCACTATAAGTTTCCCTTGATGAGCTGAAGGAACTAGATGGTCGGTGAGAATAACTTTTGTGGGGTTCTTTTACTTTTTCAATTCTTTTTATTTTATGTATTTCATTTATTCTGGCTGGTAGTAATATTTTCCGTTGTTGATTGTCGTCGGAAAATGCTTTTTCATCTAAATATTGTTTCTTATGTCGGACTGGTTGATCTCTGTTTATTTCTGCAGTGTCCTTTGAGGGTTTCGTAGTAAAAGTGTAATTTTTTTCTAAATTTGTTTTTAATGTATTGTTTGGTCTGGTCCTTTTTACAAGCTCATCTGTGGTTGCGAGCTTTGTCCTGGACGGCTTAACTGTGGCAAGGGCTGCTCTGTATCCGTTTTGGTCAATATTTGATGGACCATGTATTTCTCTGGTTACACCCCAGGTTACTCGCTCCTTGAGTAGTGGTTTCGAACGCCTGCGTGTTTTTCTTTCAATCTCTGATGGTGATTCAGAGTTGCTGTCGGACCAATTTGACTGTATGGTACGCATTTTGCGGCAAACGTGGTGCTTGAGCACGGGAATAGTCATCATCTGATGTGATTTGTGCTATTTCTATCTCTCTATTTCTGGTTGTTTGTCTATTGGTACTGCTTGATTCTGTTTCATTGATCTGATTGAATGTTAATGATGGCGAAGTGATGGACAGAAGAAGTTCCTTGGTTAGATTTTTTATCTATGGTATTTTTTACTTTTACTCTATTAGTCCTCACCGTACCTGTTGCTTTTATGCCTACGTTTTTCAAGTGAACTAATAAATCAGGATTAGAAAAACAATTATCAAAATATAGATGATATTGCAATAATTTTTTAGGTACAACCATTGTAAATAGTTTTTGGATCATTAGCATTACCACGCGACTTCCCAAAGCGCATTTACTAAGTTTTTCTTGTTCATCAAAAGAATAAATGTTTGATCCTTTACAGCAATAAATATCACAGTCAAACAGATATCCTTGAGGGCTAGCAATGCCCCACAATTTACAACCCCAACGTTCGGGTTTATTTTACATGAATTGTAATAAATCAGTGCGACCGTGAAATTTTACCATCATTTCATCAATAGACAGTGCTGTCGAGAAAAAACCAAACTGAATCAAATTTTTTCTGAACGTTTCAAGAAACTTTCGAACTCTCCATGCATTATAATTATCATTTTTATCATCAGGTTTATTCAATTTTAATTTTGATTTGATTTTTAGAAATTTATTACGGCTCATTGCTGAAGCTGCAGGTTCACATGTAAGAAGTGGGTCCGTAAAGCAAAGGAACCTGAATTGTGATAGATATTCTTTAAAAATTACGAAATGGTAAGTCTCTTTGATCAATGTTATATTAACTTTAAGATTTTTCGAAAATTGAATATTGTAAACCTTTATAAAAATCTTTTATTTTCAAAAAAATGTAATGAAGTAATTTTTATCTAATTCTTAAAAAAGCTATCAAATCATGTTACTCTAATCATTTTATTGAACTATATACTCATACAAAATGCTGCGTAAAATCTCAGATCTCGTAAGATATTAAAAATCAATGTATTGTATTGATTCACCTTTGATCCAAATTAAGAGTGTGGCCGCACTCGCAGGCGCCGAGGATGATGAGAGAGAGAGAGAGAGAGACAGAGTTACGATGAAGTCAGCGCTTTATTTCTCGCAGAGGAGTACAGTTTGCTGGATCGGACGCCCAGTGACAGAGTGTCGCACATATAGTGCGTTGCTGCACCCGGCGCAAGCAAAAGTCTTGCTTACTAGAAGCGATGGCCGGAACACAGCAAGCAAGGTCAGCTCGACGGTATCACTCGTTCTGGATGCTACGGGGCTCGTTGCCGTTATATAGCCAGCTCGATGGTCGAATGCCGCCCCCTCTCGTCGTTCAGGTCGGCAACAAAGGCTTAGGCCGCTCAGGGATGCTAGTCGGCTTAGCGGGGATCAGCAGATTATCGGGATTAAGCCGCTTCGCTCTCTGTGCCAATCCCGTACTCCCTAAGCCTGGCCCCCCTAAGCCTGCAGCCCAAAGCGCAGGCGTTGGCAGCCTCTTCGGTCGTGCCCAGGTGATGGCGGCACCGGTTGCCCCCCAACCGCCACAGCCATTCCCCCCTCAGAGGCGTTCGCAGGGGGCGAATGGCTCGATGCTGCTCGTCGCAGGATGCTGGGCACGTGCTTTTTCCTCCGCATCGCCGTGTTCATGTGCTCTACGTCAGTCGCCCGATCCGTGAGTAGGGGTCGCGCGGCCGGAACGAATGACGACGATGAAACCGCCGGAGGCGAGCACTCGTCCCCGTCAGGCTCCAGCGTTGAAGGCAGAGCTGTCGGTGCAGACGGTTGCCGGTGGCTCGTGATTCGGATCCGCCACCCCAGGTGGTCGCAGGACGTCGTAGTCAGACGAGGCGAGATAGGCCGGTTTCAAAGCGTCCGTTGTCACCGTTCTCTCGTGGCCATCCACCCGGATGACGTAAACCTTCTCGCTGATTCTCCTGACGACTTCGTGTGGGCCGGAGTACGGCTGCTCGAGCGGTTTCCGGACGGTCTCAACTCGCCGAAAGATGTGCATGCAGGTGACCAGGTCCTTCAAATAGAAAGGTCGGCGCGCTGAGTGGTCCGCCGCTGGTACAGGTCTGATGGTTCCTATCAGGCCTCGGAGCCTGGTCACGAACGAGGCGGGATCTGCAGGTGAACTACTGGCAACGGAAAACTCCCCGGGGATTCGCAATGATGTGCCATAGACCATTTCGGCCGGGGAGGCCTGCAGATCCTCCTTGAAGCAGTTCCGCAGGCCGAGGAGCACCAGCGACAAGCTCTCAGGCCAGGGCGTCTGCGTGGCACATCAGCGCCGCCTTCAATGTCCGATGGAAACGCTCGACCATGCCATTCGCCTGGGGATGGTACGGCGTGATTCGCACCCTCTGCGCCCCGATGAGTCGTGCCAGTGCCGTGAAAAGGGCCGACTCGAATTGAGTCCCTTGGTCGGATGTGATCGTAAGCGGACACCCCCGGTCAGTGATCCAGTGGTCGAAAAGCGCTCTTGCCACCGTGGAGGCCCGTATGTCGGCCAAGGGCACCGCGACCGGCCACCTGGTGAAGCGGTCCAAGATGGTCAGGCAGTAGCGCCAGACTCCGACCTGCGGCATTATCACGATGTCGACGTGCAGGTGCTCGAACCGGCTATCTGGCTCCTGGAAACGCGACAGCGCGGCGCGGTTGTAGCGGTGGACCTTGGCGCGTTGACACGCCTCACAGCCTCGTGCCCAGCGTTCCACGTCCTTGCGTACGCCCGGCCAAACGTATCGCTCTGCGACGGCGCGGACGGTTGCGCGTATACTGGGATGTGCCGAGCCATAAGCTGCGTCGAACGCCACTCGTCGCAGTGGCTGCGGCAGATAGGGCCGAACAACACGGTTGGCGATGTTGCAGGCCACCTGATGTCCGTCCAAGTTGCAACGGTGGAGGTCCATAGCGCCGGCCACCAGCAGCTTCGGTAGCTCCTCGTCGGCCGATTGAGTCTCGCTGATCGTCGCCGGTCCCAGCGGTGCCGGCATGCTTACAGTAGCGCAGGGCAGCGCCGCTGCGTGGGCCGGCGGCTTCTCAGGGACCGCGGGATCGTCGCTCCTGGAGAGGGCGTCAGCGACAGGGTTATCGGCGCCCTTGATGTGCCGAAACTCCACGATGTGCTGAAGGATATAGTCCAGGTGCCGTTGCTGCCTCGGTGAGGCCCTGTCGGACGGCTGACGAGAAGCGAAGATCAGTGGTCGGTGGTCGGTCAGCATCGTGAACGCGCGCCCTTCCAGTATGCGACGGAAGTGACGGATGGCTTCGTAGACCGCGAGGAGCTCGCGATCGTAGGTACTGTAGCGCTGTTCTGTCGGTGAGAGTTTCCGCGAGTGGAAACCCACGGGCCGCCAGACACCGTCAACTTGTTGCTGCAGGGCAGCTCCCACGGCCAAGTCGGACGCGTCGGTAGCCAGGGCCAAGGGCGCAGTTGGTTCGATGAAGGAAGCTCCCACCGCCTCGGCCAGGCTCTCGCGAACCGCTCGAAACGCCGCGTAGGACTGCGTCGACCACAGGAGCGGCCGAAGACTCTTTCGTGTCCGGACCTTGAGCATCTCGTTGAGCGACGCCTGCACCTCCGCGGCATGGGGCAGGCAACGCCGGTAGAAGTTCACCATGCCCAGGAAGCGCCGCAGACCGCGCGCCGTGTTGGGCCGCGGGAAGTCCCTTATCGCCGCAATCCTCCGAGCGGGTGGCCGGAAACCTTCCTCCGAGACATCGTAGCCGAGGATGGTGACCCGCCGCTGAGCGATCTGACATTTAGGGAGCCTGATCGCGAGACCCGCCTCCCGAAGGCGCTCCAACAGAGTGCGCAGGTGCGGCAGGTGCTGCTCCGTCGAGGATGACTTGACCAGAAGGTTGTTGAGATAATTGTGAACGAACAGCAGGTCGCGCAAGAGGCTGTCCAGATAGCGCTGGAACGTTTATGATGCGTTACGAAGGCCCAACGGCATCCGCACGAACTCGAACAGCCCGAAGGGCTCGACCACTGTCGTTTTCGCCACGTCCTCCGACGCCATGGGCACCTGGTAATAGGCCTCCTGCAGGTCGATGACCGAAAAAACCGAGCAACCGCGCGTGTCCTCCAGCAGGTCTTCGATGACGGGAAGCTGGTAGCGGTCTGGCAGTGTGACGGCGTTGAGCCTCCGGTAGTCGGCAGTCACCCGGCAGCCTCCGCTGGGCTTGGGCACGACATGAAGCGGGCTGGCCCACTGGCTGAACGATGGGCGCGCGACGTCGAGCTGAAGGTGGTGATCAAACACCTCCCTGGCTGCGGTGAGTCGATCGCCGGCGAGGCGGCGCGGACGTTCGTGCACAGGCGATCCCGTCACGTGAATGTGATGGGCCACTTCCGCGCCGTGCAGGGTGGCATCTCGGCTGCTGGGCTCGGACAGGTCCGCGAAATCGGCGAGTAGCTGGTCGAAGCGGCGCCGATCGGTGCTATCCGTGGAGTCCGTGATGAGCGCGATCCCGTGGATCACGGCGCGGTGCGGTTGCGCCGTTGTAGCGCAGCAGGTGGGTTCGATCGATCAGCCGCCAGTGTTGAAGATCGACCACCAGCCCCGAGTACGCCAAAAAATCAGCCCCCAGTATGGCCTCAGGCACGTCAGCGACGATGAAGGGCCAAGAGTACGCCTGTGGCATGCCCAGGTCGAAATGCACCATGCGTCGCCCGTAGTTCCGCAGGGGCGAACCGTTGGCCGCTATAAGAGTCAGCGGCTGCCGCTCGTACCGCCCTGGAGTGCAGGAGCGAGGCAGGAGTGAGACCACCATCCGGAGTCGACGAGCATCGGCTTCCGGCCCGATCGATAACGTGCAGACGGGTCTCGGCGCGCTCCAATTTGCCGCCGACCGCCACGACGGGCGGCGGCCTCAGCGGTTTCCTGGCTGAGCGTTTGCGGCGTAGCCGCATGGCGGGCGGCAATTCTCGGCGCTCTCGCCAAAACGGGCGTGGTAGAAACAGAGGTCGCCGCGGCCGGTGGACTGGTTCCGGGGGCGGGATCGACTGCGGTCGCGCGGTCGGGCACTCTTCACCGCGTTGTGGATGTCCTCGAGGATGCCGCGCTGGGCTGTCAGCTCGACCCTGATCAATTCCAGCGTAGCGGAGTCGGATGCGGTCGCCGGCGCGGCCATGGCGCTTGTTGCCACGCGCGCAGCGCGCACCGCGCAGACGTCGGGCACGGTATCGACCAGCTCGTCCGCCGCCTACGCAAGCTCGTCCAAGTCAGTTTTCCGCAGGAGCTTTAGTATTTTCGAGGTTGTGGAGGGCAGAAGGTCCAGCCATCGGATCTGGAGGGCATCATCCGTGATGCTGTCCCCCGCCAAAGCCCGCATGTGATGAAGCAGCTGCGCGGGAGTGCAATCTCCAATGGTGAGGCCGGAGAGCAGCTTATGCAGGCGCTGCTGCGTTGTATCGCCGTGTCGAGCCAGAACCTGCAGCTTTAAATGCTCGTACTTGCCAGTCGCCGGTGGAAGCTGCAGCACGTCCATCATGTCTGCCACCGTCTCGCCGTCCAATCCAGCGACCGTAGTGTGGTATCGCTGCAGATCGGTGTTGATCTGCTGGCAGGCGAACAGCGATTCGAGCTGCACAAACCACGCCGCCGGGTTGTCCTTTCAGAAGGGCGGCGTGCGGACCGTCACATGGCGAAGTGCACTGACCCCGAGCTCGAGCGCATCCGTTTGCGTAGTGGTCAGACTCTCTTCGTGCTGAGGCAGCGGTTGGTGCGGCCGATCTTCTCCGCTCACTGCACGCACCGGGCTTCGGCCGAGCATGGTTGACGCAAGACCGTGCCGCTGTTACTCTCTTGAATCGAATCCAGGCGCGGAATTACGTCGGGGTCACCACTTTGGTCCAAATTAAGAGTGTGGCCGCACTCGCAGGCGCCGAGAATGATGAGAGAGAGAGAAAGAGAGACAGAATTACGATGAAGTCAGCGCTTTATTTCTCGCAGAGGAGTACAGTTTGCTAGATCGGACGCCCAGTGACAGAGTGTCGCAGATGTAGTGCGTTGCTGCACCCGGCGCAAGCAAAAGTCTTGCTTACTAGAAGCGATGGCCGGAACACAGCAAGCAAGGCCAGCTCGACGGTACCACTCGTTCTGGATGCTGCGGGGCTCGTTGCCGTTATATAGCAAGCTTGATGGTCGAATACCGCCCCCTCTCGTCGCTCAGGTCGGCAACAAAGGCTTAGACCGCTCAGGGATGCTAGTCGGCTTAGCGGGGATCAGCAGTATTATCGGGATTAAGCCACTTCGCTCTCTGTGCCAATCCCGTACTCCCTAAGCCTGGCTCCCCTAAGCCTGCAACCCAAAGCCCAGGCGTTGGCAGCCTCTTCGATCATGCCCAGGTGATGGCGGCACCGGTTGCCCGCCAACAGCCACACACCTATGTGGCCTTTACCGCCAGAAATCAACTCTTTCAATTTTTAATTTGAGACAAAATAAATTATATATACTTATAGAGTACACTGATATCAATATTTTTGATCTCTACACTTTTTCCTCTACAATCAATAGATTTTGAGACACAGACAAAATAAGATTTTCAAGTACGTAATGTCAAAACTGAATATTCAACTATTTTCAACCAAATTGACAATTATTAATAGTAGCTGACTATAAATAGTATTTTATTATGGTATTTTGTCATACCATTTATTATGCAAAGCCTCATTAAAAAATATCAACTAGTACTAAAGTTATGATCAAAAAGAAATGTCATATTCAGTGGGAGACATACATACCATGGACAGATTGAAAATATAAAATCTCTTTTTCATTATAACTTCAGTACTAGTTAATAATTTTTAATGAGGCTTTGCATAATAATTGGTATGATGAAATACCATAATAAAATACTATTTATAGTCAGTTACTACTAATAATTGTCAGTTTGGTTGAAAATAGTTGAATATTCAGTTTTGTCATTACGTACTTGAAAATCTAATTTGTTTGTCTCTCAAAATCTATTGATTGTAGAGGAAAAATTGTAGAGATAAAAGATATTGATATCAATGTACTCTATAAGTCTATATAATTTATTTTGTCTCAAATTAAAAATTGAAAGAGTTGATATTTGGCGGTAAAGGCCGCATAGGTAAACAAAGTGTCAACTCACTTATACGTATAGTGACATTCGAATAGTTTCATATTATGCCAGCTCAGTTCTTCGTATACTGGT